CCGCGGAGCCAGCCATTTCTGGCTTAGGCACAATGGCAGCTCTGGAAGGTCCGAAGGGTGGAGTGCTGCAGTGACTTTGCTGTGGAAGGTATGAAGACATGCTGAAGAAGAAATCACTGAGCAAATGCTGCTGATGTTCACCTACCTTGTAGAAGGTTTGTTGAATCGACCGTCGAATGAAGGCTCGCAAGGTCATAAACTTGCCATAGATCCGGTGCAGGATGGTTTTCAAATAGTCCTGCAGCCAAACTGTTCGACACCATGGAGCACACTAAATGCATGCTTGGCTCCGAATCTTTCTCGAGTTTCAGCATTGACAATTCTGCTGAAAGTAAAGTGGAATCAAAAGTTCCCAAGAGCAACGAGTCTCAACCGGAGGTCGCCACTCAAGTTCCACTCATGTTAGCACGACTCTGTGACTGGGGGGAGTCCTTGTGGACATGACAACATATTCCTGGTGACTAGCAAAAGAAACCTAATAGCAATGGCCTCCACCTAATCGAAATGTTCCTGGTGACTTCCAAACGTAATCAACGACTCACTACTTTGAAATGGCCCATCCCACCGTCCCCACAGCCCCACAGCCATCGCTCCCGCTCGCGCGGGTCGTCAGAGTCAAAGAGTTCCATCCTCGGCGCGCTTGGGCATTTTCTATCCCACAGTTGAAAGACCAGTTTCAGGCCATACCCCACATAGGGAGGAAAAGGAAAAAAGTGTCCTGGTGTTGCACACTGTTTTGATTTTGTAGGCAAGGAAGGACACTGTTCTTTATTTAAAAAGGAAGTTGTCTAAGGAACTATGTTGGTTTATGTTGATTGTGTCCGGTGAGTCGAGCCTTGAGGTGAGTCTACTGAGTCTAGGCATAAGACATCTGCGAGATGAACTCGGCGTTCAAAGAAGCCTTTGCCACCTGAGAGTGCTCCATGCTTTCAGAAACACATTGGAAATCTCGGAACATACAATGCTACGAGGCATTACGAGGCATGAATGGGCGACTTCATGGTAGGAAGACACCAAAGCCATCAAAGAAGCCATCAAAGAAACACACAAGTGTCCTTTAAATGTCAATATATATATATATACTGTATAATTAATGTATTTCAAGCCACCTTCTGGACCTTCTGAATACAATAAAGCTTGCAGATTGATGATTTGCTCAGGGCAAAATCACATACAAATACATACAGTATACATATATACATCTATATAATCCAGCCATAAATTTGCTGACCCATTGAAAGCACCGAATCTTGGATCGCCTTAAATCTCCTCCAGTGCTTTCCCAGTTTTCCCCTTCCAACCACCCTGGTGTTTCTTCCCAACTGGCCAATGGACCTTTGGGTCGATCTCATTGGAGACCACCTGAGACCGGGCTCGGAACGATTGGCCAACGAAACGATCGTCACCAGCAAACGCTCAGGCACGGACGAAGCGCAAGAAGAACTCATAGACAATCTGCAAATGGGGCCAAGCCCTCTCCAAGGTGGGCTCCTCCCACTCAAAAATGGATGTTGCGGCCAAATCCTCATAAACCAGACTAAACTACTAGGAGCAAGGACGCTACTAGGGGCTGTTGGCCTTACTACTAGGAGCAAGGACGCTACTAGGAGCAAAGGGCATCGCTACTAGGAGCAAGGACGCAACTGGACCCAATCGAACCCATCAGCAAAAGACTGGTGACCGAGGCTTTAACACCCGACCAGTACGGAACTCCATGGACCCGTCCTCCTCATCATCGCCAAAGACTATAAAGGAGCGGTCCTCAAAATGGGGAGGACGCGTGGTACCGAGCCTGTCACCGTCCAAAAATTGGTTGCTAAATGTGGCTGCCCTCACAGTGGAGCTCTCGGTCGGAATCTACTCTGGAGTCATTTCCATAGAATCAGGAGAGGTCCCCAGAACTTTGGGTTGCCAATCCTTTGAGTGTTCCTTCTCGGCACGGAAAGGGCCCAGGTCTTGTCCCGCCGTCCTTGGGCGGCAAAGCCCGAAAGATATTCGCACCCAGCATTTTCACAATGTCCGGGATCAAGGAGTCGTTAAAAGCCGCACGGCTACTATTGACCTTGGGAGTGGCACCACGTGGACGATGGTAACCTGCGTTCTTGGTTCCTGCATTTATCAGGGTACAAGCAAAGGCTTCAATCCCAGACGCATGACTGGGCTGACACATCTGAGCACAACCCTGTGGATGTGCTCCTTTCCTCTGCAGCGTTTCAGATGTGCTCCATGTTTTCAAATGCAACGGCCCTTCTCAGCAGCAGGCATGTTCGACGATCTCCAGCAAAGTTTGCCTCTTCGCCTCCTTCGCCTTCATGTTGCTCCTGCCGTCCACGGAACAACTCGGCAACAACTCAGCAGACCGTCATGAGGAGCGAGAAGCTAGTTTGGTGGGTTATGGAACAGACTCCGGAACAAAAGGATCAAAAAGGCTTCTATGAAACCAATGTCGCACTTCATGTTTGTTCCTCTCAGGGTTCTGGAAATCTTCTGAGCATGACTGAACCTGGTCCCAGCACCCCAGCACCCACTGGGAGGTGCACTCGGAGCTGAAGTCATAGATGATGCAGCATGCCTGAAGTCCAAGATCTGCAAACAAAATGCATTCATGAGTATCAAGATGTATCAAGCAAGATGTCTTTTTCTGAAGGCCATGCATGTCTGATGACCTGTCAGTACGGCTTTCACGTGCACAGTCGATGTCAACGGCCAGGGGAGACCCAAATCCCATCCCCGCATATTCATCCATGGAAGGAGCTATGCCAAAACTCTATGTTTTCTTGTCTTGTCAACATTCACTTGTTCTATCTGTATATATATATATATGGTCGGTATTGTCTCAGGACCTGCACCCCGGATTGGCATCTATGCTTGACAGCTGACAGCTGCATATGACATGACCTTTCATGTTATACTGGTAGAGGCAAGACTCCAAACCGATGCTTTTCAGGTCCACGATGGGGCATGTTGCAAGCTCCTTCAGTTTGCCTCATGAGATCAAGATCCAAATCTTAACTGGTCACCAGTTCGGAACCTTTCGCACTCCTTTTTTTGGGAGATTCGCAGTGAGCCGTCTCAGGGGTAACATTGCATCCGACCCTCCGCTTCGCCTGCAGCTTCTGCCGGAAGAGCTCTGGCCGGTCGGCCGCGATCTCGTCGCGCAGCTTGGGCCTTGACTTGTCTGGTCGTCCAAGCCACGAGGACACAATCTTAGCCCCCAAAAAAGAAGGGGGAGCACTGGAGCACGGTTCTTTGCACCTGGTAGAACTACTTATGTTGCTTTGCATTTGTCGCTTTATACATGTTGTGTTCTCTTTTTTGTACACTATTCAAATGTTGTCCATCTCTTGGAGATAATCTTCTACTGTATGTTTTTAAACCCACTTGTTCCACCAAATCAATCTCTTCAAGTCTCTTTTCCTAACTGATGGAAAAGGGGAGCGGAGTCTTCCTGACAGCTGAGACATTCACAGGGAAGGAAAGCTGGTCTCTGGCGGCTTCGCTCTACCTGCAACGATATCAAGTGTGTGCAACTGCATTCCCCGAGTGCAAAGCAGCTCAGGTGGCTCTTTGACCCCGCTACTCAAAGTCAAGAACAAAGCAGCCAAGGCCTGGTTTTGGCTTGGGAGCCTTAGCATGACACCGTTGGCAGAACTTCGAGCTCTGTGCAACAAACGGTCAGAGTCACCTGTCAGTGCAAACATCTCAGGTCGCAGACAGCCTGATCTTCTGCATCCTGCAAAGCACCCAAAACTTAAATGCTTCTTGCTACTAGTAGCGATGGCCTCCAACCTAATAGCGATGGCCTCCAACCTTTTAATAGCGATGGCCTCCACCCTACTAGCTAGTAGCGATGGAATGAGGCAATTCCAAAGTTCTCAAATTGGGCCTTAGCCTTACTCATGGCTCACGCTTTGCAAGTGGAGCTTGGTACGGCACCTCGTATGTTCATCCTATAAAACTTTACGGCGGTGGACACCACCCACGTTATTCAGTCTCCTCACCAATCTTCTGTTTGATGCTCTGGAAGAGCTTCATGAGACCTCCAACACGGGTGGAAGCAACGCACCCTGGGATCAAAGTGGCACAAAACCGATGACCGGAAGATAGGGTTCTGGAAGCAGGAGGTTTCCTGCAACTCTTCCTGAAGTGAATAGCACCGGGGGGTTCATAAAACAAACGAGATACCGAAGTTCAGTTCTTCTGTCAATGTGCGCAATGACCTAAGGCCAAAAGGTGCACCTAATTACCGCTTCACGAATGCTCATGCCAGAATCAAATTCTCAGTTCTGGCACAGCATTGCTGGAATTGAGGAAGTGTCTTCAGGAGGTGTTTACCTTAACAAATTCTCAATCCTTGTTCAACGTATAGTATGAAATTATCCCTCCCCGATCTTGCATGTCAATTTTGTGGATAATTATCCTTTTCATCACATCAAGTCTTGAGTTTCCAGCCTGTCACCACCCATCAAGTCAGCCATCTGAGCAGGGTCTCATCTTGAAGGGGTCCACACTATCGCTCAAAAATGGAGACCAAAAGAACCCTGCAGGTGTACCAGGCGCCACCTTTCTTTGATATGATGATGAAATCTGCTCCAAATGATCTTGAAACCTGCTCCAACCATCCACCCATCATCCCCACCCTCTACAACAGTCCCTGGTGAACATTCGGGACCCACCTGTTGCTCTTGTGGCATCGTCCTCTCCACACGTGGCTCAGTGGCTCAGTCGTGCCCAGACTCAGCCAAAAGTTCAGCAGGATCTGTGGGCCAAACAGGAGCGTCCATGGGATCCCTCCGGTATCAACGATGGCCAAACAAAAAAATGAGCCTGGGGCATGACCCCCGCTTCGCGCCCCTTTGCGGCTCTGAGGCTTACATCAGAAGTCTTAACTCAACATCTGGTGCAGAAGGCGAACTTGACAACGTGCATGCAAAGGCTACATGGAGAATCACATCCCCGCGTCTGCTCTGTTTTGCAATCGCGCGGATCTGCCAGTGCTTTCACACCTGAGTGTGCGACTCTGGATCTACTCTTCGTTGAAGGCTTTAATGGCTTTAATAGGACTCAAAATCGTAACTTCCGCAATGGGCAAGAGTACCCGAATCCCTTCGTTCCTGGAGGTCTGCTCTAATAATCAGATGGCTAGGAGCTCATTGCTTCTCAACTTACTCTTTGATGGTGCCAGAGTCCACCTTCATGCAAAAGGCAACCTGCCACAAAACCCGGATCAATTGTCACTCTTAGAAAAACAGTTCATATTTCTCAGTCGCTCCCTGCACCGAACAAGAGTGAACGGTGAGAGGATCGAAGTCAAAACACCCAGGACCAGAGCCACACTCCCGAAGTCTCGAAGCCGGCCTCTGCCTCTGAGGCCTCTGACCTTTGGAGATCGGCTCCTGAACTGGCCACGCCGACCTTGATCCTGGCGGAACGGAACGACGGAACGACAGAACGGGTGGGTCATGAAAAGCCTTGAAGTGGATGTCTCTAGACGCAACCAACACTATGCTAGATGCTGCTAGCCTGTGTTTAGAACAGGTCACTTCACATGATTTGTTTGTCTCTTCACCACCCAATAAGACTGTTGCCACATGTTGCCACAAACTCATTTGCTCGCCTTTTTCCTCGTTCTCCTCAGAACGGAGTGTTTCTTTCCTCCACGAGAAGGAAGAATCATGCACTTGCTCATTTCTGAGATCCAGATGGGCCATTGTCCACCAAAAACAACATGTTTAGCAAGAGATTGATAATACAGTTGTCGCAGCAACACACACTCAGAGCCATCAAAGAATCAATCGAGCAGAACTTCAGGCAAGTGCGTGGCCTAGTTACTACCCCACTACGGTCTTCTTGTTTATTCTGATCGAGCAGGAAAAGCTGCCAAATGCAGCTGCTCTTTCAGTTTGGTTCCTCTAGGAGGAGGGCTTCAAGCGGCAAACATCTCCCTTGAAATTATCCAGCTACGTCGGTCTGGCCATTTGAAACCTACGAAAGGGTGGGTTGAAGAATAAAAAGGAAAGGTACATATAGGTTAAGGAATATTGAGGGGTACCAGACGCCCCCAAAAAAAGTAATTTGGAAGATAGGAGCGGCGTAGAGCCCATCCACGTCCTCCCATCCATATACCCCCCAAAACACATATATTATCATATATTCACCATATACATTACCTTTTGCGGAATGCGCAACTGGTAGCAAAGCGGGCACCGACGGACCTTTTCACTCTAAGGTGAACGAAGGTATGTGAAACAAAAGCATTGAACGTGTTCTGCCTCCTTATGCTGCTTCTGGTACTCTTCTCTGTTTTGTGCGTGTCATCCTAAGCCGGCTGGGCCGATCGAGCTCTGGGGCCATGCTTGCATGGATCACGCGGCCGTGGTCTCTTGGGCCGGGCCATGGCCTCGAAAGCACGAAAGCTCGAAACAACCTGCTGAGGCATTTCCAATGGAGATTCTCACACCCATTATTTTTATTTTTGGTTCGAGCTTCCACTGGCATTCGCATCCTCATCGTCTCGAAGTTCTGCAGCCAGTTTCTTCCGACGCTCGACATTTGCCTCTTTCTTTTGCTCGGCTTTCTTCTTCTTTGCATTGGATCTGTCTTTCCTGCCGTTTCTTTTCCTTCAAAAGCTTGTTGGCTTCACTCTGGACTAGGCTAGTGATGCCGTCACGAAGAAAAGCTCTCAAAGTATCCTTTTCAGCATTTGCTTTAGTCAAAACATTAGCGATGTTTTGCATACCATCAATCCACTTGACCACTGCATTGGGCTGTCGCACAGTCTCTCGCAGGAGGGCCCCTTCAATAGCCATGCGCTTGTCGGTGGATGTTGAAGTAGCATCTTTATGCAAGTAATCGAACACCGAACGGGCGTCTGTGACGTATGCCCTCTGGCGGCGGTGAATCACCGATGGCCAATCCTTCAGGTTCAAATTTCCATGCAACGCTTCTTCCAACAAACAACAACACCAGTCGCCAGCCTCGACAGCTTCTGCTAAATGCGAAGCTTCTGCTGCAAGCGTTGATCTGCAAACTCTCTTTGTTTGTCCACTTTGAAATGCCAAAATATTTGCACGGCTTGGCTTGTCATCCAAAATTTCTGGATTTGCAACAAGAAGGAAATATCCACCAACGCTTCTGTAACGTTTGATGTCGTCAGATTCTGGGGTCCCATTGGCGTGTCCACTGTCTGCCAAATGGATCAGGACACCATGCTCCAAATCAACATCGCTCCAAAAGCGAAGTCTGAAATCGGCTGCCCTGCGGGCTTGTGCAAGGCACTGCCGAAGGCGGATCAAATCACCAACGCAAGCATCTGTCTTTGACCTCTGAATCACGCCGTTTTCAAAACACAAATCACAACGCAACTGTCTGGTCAGCCAGCCTAACTCCCCTGCTCCAGATTGGAACTCAGCAAATTCCTCTGAAGTGAGGGAACTTTCGACCTGGGCACGTCTAGCATTAGGAATATGGATCTTGCGGGTGCTGAGTGAGTAATTCCGCATGCTAACATCAATGTGACCATCCACATGTTGCTTGATCTCACGGCCTCTGAAAACGAACTCTTTGAAATGATTGGTGGCGTACTCTAGAGCTTTGGAAGATCTTGCAAAAGCAATGTCCATGTAAGAGGGATCAATTCCTCCCTCAACATCGTCAACATGCGTAACCAAGATTCCTCTCAACTGCTTGCCGTCTGCACCACCATCTCGGAGGTAAAACAATGCTGGCTCGAGGCGACTTTCTTCCCAACCGTCACTATTGAGGTGACCCTTCAAAGCAATCCAAAACATTCGAGCAGCTTCGCTGAAGCCGTAGATGGCCTTCTTGGCTTTCAGCAACTGCTTCGGCTTCAATCCCCGCAGGCCACCGCGAGGCTGTTCCAAGTAAATCTCCCGATCAAGGGATTTTCCACTAAAGTAAGCATTCTTGACATCCTTGGAAATCATGGTGAAGCCTTTGAATGCAGAAACTGCCAAACAGACACTCTCAGCTAGTGCACTTGCGGTTGGAGCGTCCCTTCTGTAAAATCCAAGACTCCGGTCTTTGAAACCTTGTACTACCAAACGGGATTTAGCCAAAAATTCAGCCTTCTCCAAACCATCATTCTTGTTGGTTCTAACCCATCTGGTCGGGATGATCAAGTCCGGGCGTTTCTCACGGATCGACTGACTCTCTGCCTCTGAAAGAACATCAACTGCTTCCTTCTCCTGCCAGGCCTGCCACTCACGGTCATCGGAACCGCCAGGCTGCAAAAACTGGTTGCGAACTTCGGAAGGTAAGTCCTTTAAATAAACTTCTTTGCGACCCTTCTTCTTACCAGCACTCTGACCTGGGGTTGCCTGCATGGCGTGGTCGTACATGGCTTGATAATGCTCATCAAAAACATTCCTTCTGAAGGCAAAAAGAAAATCATCCAACGAAACATTCCGGCTCGAATAGTCATCTATTTTGTTTGCATATGATTCTCGTGCACGCTGCTTCAACAATTGGGGGTGTTCAACAACATGGTAGCAAAACAAACCGTCAGCATCGTCCGGAGGCAAATCACCGCGAAGCCGTTTGGCTTCCCGCTCCTGGGCTTCGGTCTCAGGATTTTCACTCACTGCAGGAAGACGCTTGGACGGTGAAGCTTGGTGGTAGTCATGCATCTCTGGGTCGAACTCTGCTGTCTCCATCGGGGGCAATGGAGTCAAAGCTGCTTGCTGTTGCAATTGTTGAAGTCGGGCATCTCTTTTCTCCCTTCTCTCACGCTCTTTTCGTGCAAAGAACTCTGAATCACGGCGATGTTTCTTGGCATCTCTCTCTGACTCATAGCGCATCCGGGCCATGGATGTAGAGCCCGAGGACATATCTTCGGCAGGTGCAGGTGCTAGAGCTTGCTCTGTCGCTTCAGGAACTGGTGCTTCAGATGGCTCATACTCCAAATCACCTTTTGCAGAAGGTGACATGTCTTGAATCTGTCCTGGAGGCTTGTCTTCAATTTCTAACTGCTCTTCTCCTTCCCGAACTGTGTCCAACTCTGTCGTCTTTGGCTTGGGCAATGCGCGAAGATCAATGAAGCCGGTCCCACCGGCGCCTGGTTGTGCATCCATTAGCTCGGTTTCTGTCCCAACATTCAACCAATGTTGCACTTCCTCATCCATGGCGAAGGCTAAATGTTCGGGACTGACTGCTATCAAAAGTCCTCTGTGACTCAGCCAAACTGTATGCGATCCTTCGTGTCCAACAACTCTTGCAACACCTCTCCAACACTCAGGGCCAGGTGCAGTGTCACTGGCATCGTAGTAGAACACATAGGAACCGACAGGAAAAGGACCACGTGAAGGCTTGACCTTCCGGAGCTCTGCTCTTTTCAGGGCATCTGAACAGCTAACTTTGACAAAGGCTTCTCGAGCAGCGAAACGAAGTTTGGACTTCTGGTAAAACCTGCTGGTTGGTGTCAAGCTTAACGACAAAGCTCCCAAGCGCGTCACTTCGCTCTCATCTGTCAGGTCAGCTGGCAGCCGAGTCTGTCGTCCCAAGACCCATTGCGCCGGCGAAAACCCCGACCTGCGAATCAAGCTGTTCTTCGCTTGGTTGATAGCTGAAGTGGCATGAACCATAGACTCTCTGCCAGAAACTTGTTCACTCCAAACAACTCGTTTCAACATGCTTTTCCAAATGTCTCCGTGCCGCTCGACTTGTCCGATCTGCCAAGGACTAGCCTTGGCTGCACTCTGGAAGTAAACACCTTCTGCGGAAAGAGCTTCAGAAAAATGCGTCACAAAATACTTGGCTCTGTCAGTGAAAACACCGAACTCTGGATAACCTGCCCAGCTGACCCATCCAATGTCAAATGCTTTGATGACCTCTTCGGATGTAGGGTTTGCATGTGTCTGCTCCAACAACACTGCAATCTGGAAACAAGTACCCTGGCACAAAATGTTGAGCCAACTCCAATTGTGTCCATCGGCGTCCTTGCACTGAAACACATCTAAGCCAATCTGTACGTTGAACTCTTCTGTCAGTGGCAACTTGCTAGGTCTTTGCTTCTTTGGAGGTGCTACTCGAGGGCATGCCTCACAACGAAACAATCTGCAAGCACGAATGGCGACTTCCGACGCCTTGCTCACCCGAAGAGCCCGCAACATTTGTGTCACGCTCGCATGGCCAAGATTGACATGAACCCGTCGAATGGCAAGCTTCAACTCTCTCGGCAAGGAAGCCCACTTTTGGGCGCGCTGCAACTCTTTGGCTTGTGCCCTGGGGTCAGCTTCAACTGGTTGTTCAATATCTCCCAATGGTTTGCCAAAAACAATCACGCAAAGCTCACGCTGTTGTGCAACCAACGGTCTCACCTGACTGCTCGGTGCCAACTGTGCCAACTCCTCCCAGCCTGTTGTCAAACAACTTCCGTTTCTCAAAAGCAAAAACGACTTGCGA